CAGTTGATGGAAGGCTGTTCTGGGGCATTCCTTCCCACCTGCTGAGAGCTGTTGGGCAGAACGACTGGTGGAGGTTGGCTGTTGGGCAGTGGCCCTGGAATGGTGAGGCCCAGGAAGTGGGCAGAGCCTGGCCCCCCCAGCCTCCGCATATGCAGCTCCACGTTGCTCCTTCTCTCCTTGGGCTCCAGGCCTCGGCCCAGGAAGCCTGCACTGTGCTCACCTGCACATCGGCAGGACTTGGGGGCACACGACGGGCCGAAGCGGAGGGCGGGCATGTGGCTGCAGATGTGCTTCTGTGCAAGGGCTCCTCGTCTCCCAGATGTGAGGATGGGAGTGCCCCCTCCAGCCTCTGTCCCCTCCAGGCCCACTCCTGGCCATCCCCAGCCTCCTCACGGCCCCCTGAGTGGCCAGCCTGTCCCCGCCTGACCCTTCTCCCACCTGGAATGCCCTCCCTGCCTCTGCACCCCCAGCTCCCAGTGCCCGTGGCGCACCCGCTGGCCTCACTTCCTGTGTGACTGGGAAAGGGAGCCTCTCTCAGATCCTCAGTCTCCCCGTCTTCAAATGGAAGGTTGGATTTTTTAAGCTCTTGGGCCAACTCTGATACCTAGTGAATGGACCAGCAGAGTCTGAAGTTGCTCCGGGACAGTGAGAGTGAGGCCCGCGACAGATTGGTGATGTACAGGCTGGAGGTGTGTGTGAGCCGCACTCTGGCTTTCCCTGAACTCAGTGGCCTCTAAGGGTTCCTCCAGTTGCAGGACTTGAGGCTGCGAGTGCCCCCTCCCCGGACACTCTCAGGCTGCATGGCTGTGGGAGGGGCTGGTGTGGGCCTCCCCGCTGGTCAGTGCTGAGCTTTGGGCTGTCTGTGTGTCTCATCCACATGGGATTTCAAGGGGACACTCTGTGCGAAGGCTGTAACCCTGGGCAAGTGGACTCATCTTTCTGAGTTTCAGTATCCTCACCTGGGAAATGGGGTGATAGTCATAATGTTGCTGTAGGGATTAGCGCTCTCAGAGCAGTGCCTGGTGGGTAGCAAACACTGGGTAAGCATTGATGACTATGTCTGCACCTCTGAAGGGGCCCTGCGGGTGGGGACCTTGAGCCTGCCCCCTGGGGGCCTCCTCCATTGGCCCTTGTAGTCACTGCGTTCTTGGCATCTGAGAGTGTGGGCCCAGGCCTTGTCCTGGTCTCCTGGCTGCCATCTAACCCGAGGGAGGTGTCTGGAGCCTCAGGGGATGGGGCGTGGCCTGATCTGCTCTGTCCAGAGGCCCTTCCCAGGGACTCTCGGGCCCCTCCCATGGGTTGTGGTAGTTGCCTCTCTAAAACCCCAGCTCAGGCCTGAGCAGTAGGTTGAGTGTGCTGGGTGCTCAGAGGCTGTGTTCTGATGCTGACCCTGCTGGGGCCTCCCCTCCTCAGGGCTCTGGGTCCATGTCTTGCACTGCCTACTCTCTGCCGGGTAAGCTCGCTTCACTGCTGTCTCTGGTGTGGAAGTCACCCCACCTTTTCTGGTCCAGGTATCACACCCCAGTGTCTCGCCCCCATTTTCTCCCAGCAATGCCCAGACCCTCATTGACCAGCCTGGGCATCTGCCGACAATGACTCTGGTCCTGTTCTCTTTACCATCTCATCCCAGTCTGTGAGTTGCTTTGTGACTTGGGATGAGTCTCAGCCTCAGTTTCCCCATCTGTAAAATGGGAAGCTGGCTTCCTTGTTTGCTAAGGCCTTTTTCAACAAATCACATATAATTCCATTTCTCATCTGGTTTAACTAAGTGCCCCCACTCAGCGAGTGCCACACAGGCCTGCATAGCCCTGGGTGAGGACAGCCGCCTGCATTTCTTTTTGTTTTGGTTAATCCTCACCCAGGATAATTTTTCCATTGATTTTTTTTTTAGAGAGTGACAGGGAGGGGGAGAGACAGAGAAACATTGATGTGAGAAAGACACATTGATTGGTTGCCTCCCACACACAGCCCAATGGGGGCCAGGGATGGAGCCTGCAACTGCAGTACGTGCCCTTGCCTGGAATCGAATCTGAGACCCTTCAGCCGAGGGCTGATGCTCTAACCACTGCTCAGCTGGCCAGGGGATCATCCCACATGTCTTGAATGGAGTCCCTAACGACCACAGCACGGCCCAGCCTTCTTGCCAAGCCAGTGTTTGTGTATGAGGAGTGCCCTTGGGCCGTTGGGCAAGTGTGTGGTGCTGGGTTCTCTTCCTAGGTCCTCTTCTGGGGCTTTGTGTACTGTGTTTACTGAGAGCCTGTGAGGGGCTCCCCGCCTGAGCATCTCACACACGTGTGCTCATGTGCACACACACGGCACCAGGAGGGCAGGGAGGCTGAGGACTGGACTGGATTCCGGGCTTCCACGCTCTCTGTTCCTTAGTGTCAGGGTGACTTTGGACAGCTCTGAAAGGGGGGGTGGGTGTGAACAGGTTTTCTCTGTGTGGTTTTAGGAGGAGCGTCAGCAGGTGAGGGGTACCAGGCCTGTGTGACATGGCTGAGGTGGGTCCCAGGTGCCCACCTGCTTGGGCGCAGGCCAGGTGTGAGGCGGCTCAGTAGCCAGGAGCAGCGCCAGGCTGGGCTCTCTGGCCTTTGTTCTTGCGATTCCGTCCCACCTCGGAGCCTCAGGTGGAGTCGCCATGACCTGCTGCACGTCCTTCAAGGTCTCCGGGCCACACAAATACACCCCCAGCGATCTGGTAGCCTCCTGCCAAAATCTGTGTACCCTGACCCTGGCACCCCCCCCCCCCCCCC